CAGAAAATGTGTGATTCTTATATACTTTTAAACTAATAATTCTCAATTTTTAAAACTGCATAATATGTTTGAGACGTCATCTTAGAGTTACCAACATCACCACCATTACGCAAAGCTCTGCAAGGTACCCTCCTCCTTCCTGGCATCGTAACATACTGTAAAGGCTGTAGCACAACCATGGAGCAAAGAAGTAAGGATGGTGAGACCATCATAAGGCTCGTGAGGATTTTAAAGCTCTGGTTTCCCTCTGGAATTCTTCCATCTCCCTGAGACCTTAAATTTCTGGTTAGAAAACCAGATTTAAGGCAACAAACTACTCTGCCATAATTTTTCTGGTCTATCATAATTGCTCTGCTCTCTATTGTCATAGATTGTATTATAAAATAATCTTATTAAGTGCATTCAGATTAATGGCAGTCTGACAAAATCTTTGTTATAAATCCCATGACTTGGGGATAAGGAGTGGGGAAGCCACATATTGTGTTACTCACGATAATTATTTTTTCAATCAAAAATGATTAAGCAGTGAGCTCTTTGTACGTTTAACTATAAAAATAGATATATTCCCCACAAAAAAGTGAGCAGTAAATTGAGAACTAAACTTTAAATAAGGCAATGTGCCATAGTATTTCAATGTCTAACCTGAGAGTTGGTGAACTGACTTATCTGGGGTCAGTTCTAAATTTCAATCCACGAGGATACATATATATGTATATATAAATTAGGTATACTCAGAATCAGGAAAGATAAATAGTAAGCTATACAAATGACAAAAAAGAAACTGATTACTGTGTATCTCAAACTCTTTCCAAAAGGCATAGCTAAAAGTAAACACTAGAATATTTTCTGGCCAAGAGTTGCAGAGGTCTGTTTTCCCCCTAAGTGATTTCAATGGGACTTAGCAGCAAATAATGTATATTTTAAAGGAAAAATGTTAGAAAACAGAAGACTTTCAGAAGAAAAAATGGTTCTAGTCTTTGAATTTAATATAACTGACAGCTAATTAAAAAAAAAGAAAACCTGGGGACAATTTTTTTTTCAAGAATTCCAAAATGTCATGGATCTCAAGTTTCTCAAGATAGAAAAGTAATTTGCTTAGCTTTTACAACAATATCATGATCATTTCCTTCATAGTTTCTGGAACTGATTTTTATTTCCTTATTTAGCTATTACGTATAATTTATAAAACAACACTTTCATAGATATTTATATATGTTGTAATAAACTTAACACATTTTGAATTCTCATAAACTTTTCAAAAAAAGTACAACTATGATGTATCAAGAGAATACAATGACTCTAAATATCCAGGAAGGATATGAAATATTAAAAGCATCATGCTGGAAAATAAGCCCAACAAGAAGTAATTTCATCTAGAAAATACTGCATCCTGAGAAAAATCAACCTGTAGCCTCATTTCATCATCTGGATTCAATCAATATTTGCTATAATATGAAAAATAATCTGGATCTAAAAGAGAAAAGTTATTTGACTTCCAAAAATACAATTAAATTTAAAAAATGTATTTAACTTCAAATTTGGATATTCTGAATTGACCTATAATCTAAAGTATTTTATTATGCTTCAAATTTTCCTTTAGAAAATAACTGGTATCTAATTATTAAAGAGGGAAAAATTGTTTTCGGTTGATAAAAACATCTAGGGTCTATTTCTCATATTTATAGTTAGAGTCGTACTCATCTAGTGTACTTCTTAACTTAGTGTTTGATCTTACATCGTTTCTTTCCACAAAACCTTAAGACCCAATCAGCAATACTGACAGAAGAACCTAAGTATATATTTTAGCACACTTTCTCACATATAGATGGATAAGAAGAAAATATTCCAGGTCTAAAATATAGTGCCCTAAAACTATAAATGTATGCTTTAAAGAAGACGTCTTTGATGAAATGAAGCAACTAGCATGCTCCTATACTGCTGATGGGAGTGCAAGATAGTATAAGCACTTAGGAAAACTGCTTGGCAATTTCTTAAAAGTTTACTTACCTTATTAACCAGCAATTCCATTCCAAGGCATTTGCCAAGAGAAATGAAAATATTTGTCCTCCAATATACATGTACCATAAAGTTCATAGAAGCTTTATTCGTAAGAGTAAAATACTCACAATAGTAAAAAACTGGAAATAAAACAAATGTTCATCAACAGGGGAAGAGATAATCAAATTGTGGCATACTCATAAGATGGAATACTACCCAGTGATTAAAATAACAAAAACAAAAAACTACCAATACACACAACAGCATGAGTAAATCTCAAAAATGTTATGTTGAGCAAAAGAAGCCAGATATAAAACAGTACATACTGTATGACTCCATTTATATGAAATTCGAGAACTGGCAAATCTAGTTATGGTGACAGAAAATCAGAACAATGGCTGCTTTTGGGGGTTGGGAACAGACTGGGAGAGGATACAAATGAGAAAAGCGACAGAAACAGTCTGTATCTTTTTGCGGAGTCATAACATATATACATTTATCAAGAACACCAGTGGCGCAAGTGATTTGTGATAGTCTGTTAACCTAAAGGTTGGCAGCTCAAACTCACCCAGTCGCTCCATGAAAGAAAAGGCCTGGCAATCTGCTTCCATAAAGATTACAGCCAAGCGAGATGGGAAGGCAGAGAGGGTCAGGAGCTGGTTGAATGGACGTGGGAAATCCGGGGCAGAAAGGAAAAGTGTGCCATCACAGTATAGGGAGAGCAACTAGGGTCACATAACAATGTATGCATAAATTTTTGTATGAGAGACTAACCTGAATTGTAAACTTTCACTTAAAGCACAGCAACAACAAAAAAATGTTCTACATCCCACTTTGGTGAGTGGCATCTGGGATCTTAAAAGCTAGCAAGCGGCCATCTAAGATGCATCAATTGGTCTCAACCCACCTGGAGCAAAGGAGAATGAAGAACACCAAAGACACAAGGAAAATATTAGCCCAAGAGACAAAAGGGACCACCTAAACCAGAGACTCCATTCAGTGTGTGACCAGAAGAACTAGATGGTGCCCAGCTACCATCAATAACCACCATGACAGGGAAAACAACAGAGAGTCCCTGACAGAGCATGAGAAAAGTGGCTGCAGAACTCAAATTCTAGTAAAATGACCAGACTTAATGGTCTGACTGAGACTGGAGGAACCCAGGAAGATATTGCCCCTGGACTCTCTGTTAACCCAGAACTAAAAACATTCCCAAAGCCAACTCTTTAGACAAAGAATAGACTGGACTATAAGACATAAAATGATACTTGTGAAGAATGTACTTCTTAGTTCAAGTAGATACACAAGACTAAATGAGCAGCTCCTGTCTGGAGGCAATATGAGAAGGCAGAAAGGGATAGGAGCTGGTTGAATGGACACGGGAAATCCAGGGTGGAAAGGAGGAGTGTGCTGTTACATTATAGGGATAGCAACTAGGGTCACATAATAATGTGTGTATAAATTTTTGCATGAGAAACTAACTTGAACTGTAAACTTTCACCTAAAGCACAATAAAATAAAAAAAGATTACAGCCAAGAAAACCTGAAGGAGAAGTTCTACTCTGTAACATGTAGGGTCATCACAAGTGGAGAACTGATTCAATAGCAGCTAATGACAATAATAATAATATACATCTATCAAAACTCACTCAGTTGTGTCATTAAGATCTGTGCATTGCACTGTATATACATTTTAGCTGAATAAAAATAAAAGTTAAGAAAGATACTGTGATGCAATTAGTTACTTTTGTGTGTGGCCTTTCTAGCCATGGGCTTGTAACTCCCACCCAAGTGACTGTGTGATAGGGTAATTGTGGCCTACCAAGGGGATTGGTCAGTTTTGCCTTAAAAGAGAGCCAATTCCGGAGCAGAAAGGAGAAGCCCACCACCAAGGAAGGAGAGATCAGCAGGAGATGGTATGGTGGGCTTCCCCGCCAATGAAGAGAAAAAGTTGAGTGCCTTTGGACAGAGACTGAGGGCCAGGGAGAGGCACGCCTGAGAGTACAGCTGGAGAGAGGCTATCCTGACGGTAGAACTGTATCCTGAGTGTTTCTGAGCCTGAATTGTAACTGTTACTTCCCTAATAAACTCCATAATTGTGAGAATGGTCTGTGAGTTCTGTGTGGCTATTGCAATGAACTATCGAATCCAGCAGAGAGTGCTATGCGAGGGACAGCTGGTGTCAGAATTGGTAGAGATAACAGAGAGAGGAGGCTTGTTTGGTCTCCACCTCATGGGAGTCAGCCTTGTGCTGTTAATCTTGGTTCTCCTTTCCCCTTGTGGGGTTGGAGGAGGTCAGACACTGCTCCCATGCCAATTTTACAGATATGCTTAATAAAAATTTAAAAATTCAGAAATTTAAAAAAATTCAATTAAAACAAACAAATTTTTCTTTAAATGGGTTTACTTGTGGAAAAATCAATATCCAATAAACATGTTTGTGGGTATTGTGTGCTTAGAGAAATATACCTTTACTTATTTATCTACAGAGCAATTTTTTAAAATTATATCTGTAGAATTTTTATTTACCATTTTAAAATAACCTCTACTCTCCACATACAAACCTGTCAATACAAAAAAATAAAAACCATAAAAAAAAATCCAACTTCTCTTCTGCAGCCTAGCAATGGGCTTATATAACTCATCATTTCCAAAGTGCACCCCTAACTTAGAATAAATTAACCCAAGGTACAATTTTCTAAGTAGTATCTATTTGATCATTAATTCATGGTACTCTAGTACAAAGAACTTAAATAACTATTATATTGCTCAAGGCTATCAAACCCAAGATTAAAACTCAGATACCTAGCTTCCATTTTAAGAATTGCAGCCACAAGATTACAATACCTCATTAATTCATTTTTAGTATATTAAATCATCGGAAATAATCAAAAATAGCAAGTAATATTTTAAAATAATTTACACTGGGACCAGAAAAGCTTAATAATGTGACTCAAAGTTGAATTCAACATTTGGGTAAAAAATTTAGACAACAGACTAACCTTAGAAGACTTCCTTCGGCTTCTTCTTGTCCAAACTACCACCAGTTTATCTGGTTGCCTGTCAAACAGGAAAAAGAAATTAAATATAATTTATTTTAAAACAAATTAATAAATTTTAGTATCTTTAAAAGGACAAAAATGTCATCTGCTTTAGATAGAGCAGTTACTCTTACAATAAAGCTCTGTAAATTATTCGAGTATGCTGTTGTTAGGTGCCATGGAGTCAGTTACAACTTATAGCGACCCCATCTATGCACAACAGAACGAAACACTGCCCAGTCCTGCACCATCCTCACAATCACTGCTATTCTTGAGCCCACTGTTGCAGTCACTGTGCCAACCCATCTCCTTGAGGTCTTCCACTTTTTCATTGACCCTATACTTTATCAAGCATGATGTCCTTCTCCAGGGACTGATCCCTCCTGACAACATGTCCAAAGTATATGAGATGAAGTCTTGCCATTCTGGCTTCTAAGGGGCATTCTGGCTGCACTTATTCCAAGATAGATTTGTTCACTCTTTGGCAGTCCATAGTATATTCAATATTCTTTGCCAACACCATAATCCAAAGGCATCAATTCTTCTTCTGTCTTCTTTATTCACTGTCCAGCTTTCACAAGCATATGAGGCAATTGAAAATACCATGGCTTGAGTCAGGAGCACCTTAACCTCCAAAGTGATATCTTCACTTTTTTTAACACTTTAAAGGTCTTTTGCAGCAGATTTCAAGTATAGTAGATGTTGAATACCGATGTGATCTAGTTTAAGTGACTAATATTTCATCAATATGCTTTTCTAAAAATACTTTAGCAAGTTAATTCTTCAGAAAAAAACAAGTAAAATAAAACTGGTGACCATTTTAAAAAGAAAATCATATATGTATCTTCTACAAAAATTAATACTATACTGGGGGACCTCATACCATCAAGAAAGCAGTGCCGGGAGCAGAGCATGTCCTTTGGACCAGGGTCCCTGAGCAGAGACGCTCCTAGTCCAGGGGAACACTGAAGAGAAGAAGGCCGACAGAGAGAAAAAGCCTTCCCCTGGAGCTGATGCCCTGAGTTTGGACTTTTAGCCTACTTTGACTATGAGGAGATAAACTTCTCTTCATTAAAACCATCCACTTGTGGTATTTCTGTTGTGGCAGCACTAGATGACTAAGACAGAATTTGGTACCGAGAGAGTGGAGTGCTGCTCTAACAGATATTTAAAATGTGGAAGCAGTTTTAAAACTGTGAATGGATAGACGTGCGGCAGTGACAGAGGGCCAGCAGCAGCAGGGAACCTACAGCAGCAGAAAAGTGGCAGTGGCAGAGAACCAACAGCAGCAGAACCAGGAGACCAATGTGAGATGGCGCTGGAGCCAACCCACGGAGCAAGAGCTGAGTGCCTGTGTGCAGGAGGCTTCCTGGTGGAGTGGGCACTTACCTGCGGAGCTAGGCTTGCCAACCCACAGAGTGAGAGAGCTGAGTGTCTGTGTGCATGAAGCTTTCTGGCGGAGTGGGATGCCTCCGGGCACTTATACCGGTGGAGCTACAGAGCTTTGGAACACTTGCCCCAGCAGGGCAGATGCGGGCAAGAGGCCCAAGGGCCAAGAGGCCACAGGAAACAGAAGCAGAAGCTGAAGAGACAAGGGACACAAGAAGCCGAGCTGCCTCAGTCTCAAAAGGTATTGCCATGACCTCAGGGGTTTCAAAGGGTGGAGCCATGGCCTCTGGCGCTTCTAAGGGTGGAGTCGCCACTCAGATGGACTGGGAGAATGGTGCACCTAAAGCCAAGGCAGCAGAGTTGCTGTCCCAGTGGGCCTGGAAGGCGGAGCTGAAGCCCAGGGCTGATGGGCCTTCACTCCGAATCCAGAGACTGTGGCCCATACCTAGAGTCTGGAGGGCAGGGCCATTGTGTAAATTGTCTCGGAGAACAGATTATTTTCAAAGCCTTGAGGGCTAACGTAATGTGTTCTGCTGACTTGCCTGGTGCCTGTTATCACTTCTTTTCCTCTAGTTTCTCCCGTTTGTAATGGAAATGTCTAGCTTGTGCCTGTTCTGCCATTGTACCTTTGGAAGCAGATAACTTGTATTCTAGATTTCACAGATGAAGAGGAATTTTTGGATTTTGGACTTGGAGTTAAGACTTTTGCTATGATATGATGGGGTGAATATGTTTTCCATGCTGCAAGGATGTGATTTTTGGGTGGCCAAAGGGTAGAATGTCATGGTTTGAATTATGTCCCCCAAACAATGTGCGTATCAATTTGGCTAGGCCATGATTCCTGGTACTGGGGGATTTTCCTGTATGTTGTAAACCTGCCTCTATGATGTTAATGAGGGAGGATGGGTGGCA